TCATATGCAATTAAATAAACCAGAAAACAATTCCTAGTTTTTTTCTATAAGATTGTTCATGGTTCTAAGATTTTGTATTTTAGTCACCTTTCAGTGATGAGGAGTAACATCTTAAGGATATTGTTACCCTTTCATCCAGATACCAAAAATATTTTTTTTTCTGCATCTAATTATTCAATAATGCATCTATCTTTGTGCCGATTTAAAACAATAAAAAACCTCGAAAAATATAAAATATTGGCGTTTATATTTTTTCACTGCAATGTTTAAGCATAGGCAACCCAAAACTTTAACTGTCAATTTAACACCTTTCTATTTTGAGGTGAAATAGCAATCTGTATGGGGCGTAACTTCATCCCTGAATAAGATTTTATCACAAAAATTGGAACAGTTGACAGGGAGTGTATAGGCAACGATCCCGTGCTGTCATTTCGGTTTAACTGTATTTGTTACAGATTTTCATTAAACAAAGGCATTATTTTACTTTATCAATGATAAAAATCTGAACTAAGAATTTTAAGAAAAATTGCTGGCAGGGTTTTGGAGTACTAAATGGTGTCATTAAATCGGCGTTGAAATGGTGATCGTGAGAGCTCAGGTAAAAGAGAAATTTGAGAAACCGATTTTTCAGTTTTTTACCCCCAAATCACAATTATGACCTCACCTGTAAGATGACATATGTATAAATGCTAATTAATTTTGTAAGTGAACACTGACAATTTATTTATCACCCAAAAGAATGCATGTAAGGCAGTAAATAAGGAGTTCTGGGCCAAGGGTGACAATATCCTTAAGACCTGTGGGCACTCCATATGATGATGCTATTGTGACAACTATGAATAAAACCTGTTTTGTAAATATTTCAAAATCAAAAGTGCCTGTCATCATTAAAACCTAAACTTACTAAAAACTCCTATTCTTTTTAGCAATGCACAAATCTCACCAACTTAAATAAACTTCTTTTCATCAAATAATCACTTCACTTACTATTATCAACATCTTCATCATCATAATTTAAACTGAGGTTGCTGACTAATGTCTCTGCATCATTGTCATATTCCTACATTGAAAATGAATATACACATATAATTATTCCACATACAATTGCTCCATTACCTGTTATTTACTGACAGACATTTTTGGGTGTATTGGTTCAGTTCAATGTACATACATTACATTATATATTATGATGACAAGTTTGTGCTCCAAAGAAACACTTAATAAAATACATTTACACAGCTAATATGTACACTATTAACAAGAATTCCCTCCACAAGACTCACCCTTTCAAAATCATCCCTAAGGGGCATGTACCCCAGCTCTTGCTGTTCATTTTGAGGAATATCAACACTTGGAAGAGGTGTTGTAAGACTTGGTGATAAAGGCCCACTATCTGGACCAGTGTGGTCAGTTATTTTTGTGGTATTTTCATTTGGAAGAGTGGCTGGAAAGAAGAGACTTTTTTTTTGAAGTCACAGTTTTTTTATATAAACATTATTTCTAATGATTCAATGATTAATGATTCAGGTCTTAAAGAGGACTTCCAAACGAAGCACAGGGTTTATTTTCATCTTAATGAAATTAGATTCTAAATGTTCCTACTGATGAAATAATACTTTCCACGGAATATCTGATTCTAAATAAAATAAGTACAAAGTTTTTAAAGGAAATTATTGGAAATATTATTTAGCTGAGCAACATAATGTAAAAAGATTTTGGTCTTACCTTTGCCTATATTTCCCTTTACATAAAATGTAAAATAATGTTCACAGCATTCTGAAATTAAATCCATTCCATCATGTAGACATCGAATTTAATCTCAACACACTATAATGAATACACTTATTGCTTATTGCTTGAACTTAACAAAACACAATCACAATTGTATGACAGAAACAATGACTTATGTTTGGCCCATATTCAAATTCAAACAAAGTCTTACCCTCTGGTGTACTGTGGCCAACTTGTTCAGCTATGTCTTCCCTGAAAGCAGATGTTAAGTCCAAGTTAAATTCTAGGCAGATACCTGACGATGGGCCTGGATATTTCCAGTCAATATTGCTGTGATAAAATTAAATTCATATATTCAAATTCCCAATCACTGAAACATGAGCATTTCATTCTACTTTGTTTTTTTTATTGGAATTATTTAAAAATATTTTTCATTTTAAGTCTTGGTTTATGTCAACATGCATATGTTCATAAAATTGCAATACTTTGATAAATGTTAAGTTTTAAATTTTCTAAGATATTCAACCAATTCATTATTTTTATGGCTCTAAAAATTATTTGCCATCTTTAGGCATCTACAAAATAATGCAAGAACTACCCCTTACAAAAAATATTGAATCATTGCTTCTCATCAGTCAATAAGACTTGCCACATGCTACAAGTGTTACTGTGTATGCTCAGCTGTACTGATGCAATTTATACTATTCTTAACAATGAGTTAAATTAATCAATATGTATATACGTCCCATCAGTTAGGCCACACTTTTTTATTTTTATGGATGACATCCTGCGCGCGCACCGATGTTCGTCCGTTCTCCAAAAAAAAAAAAAAAATCCCCCCCCAAACTCCCCCCCCCCTCCCCCCAAGGAAGACGGTTGTCGCAAACATCGNAATAAAGACACGCTGTTTATTTGATATTTGTTTTATTGATTGCTATACCAACAGAATGCATGAAATAACCTTAAATAGATTTGGTAATATGCAGCATAAATATTCATGACTTTTTAGCCTACCTTTCTACGAAGTAGGCCCTATTCACAATGCTTTAATATTTTGAGAGCATGGATAAAGACATGTTGTTAGTTTGATACGTGTTTCTGTGGTAAATTAGTGTTTCCACTTGTGTACTGAAAACATAACTTTTCTTAAGCATTTTTTTTTTGGACTGTTTTTTTTTTTTTTTTTTTCGCCCGCTCGCACCGACTTTGGGGTCCCCAGAGGATGTCATCCATAAAAATAAAAAAGTGTGGCCTTACAAGAAATTATGTAGACTCTTACAATAAGATTTCCTACTATTTTTTCCAATTCTCTATCTGGGATATACTTAATGCAGCTTGAAAGGTGAGATTTACTTTTATGGGAGTTAAGTGAATGAACTAAATGATGCTTTACATCAGGGTAAAATGACCCCATATTTCACTTAACTTACCAGTTTCCAAATCCAAAGTGTTCCACACCATCTAAAAGCATGGACTCATTTACAGCTGTCCACTTTTGTGTCTCAGGTGTAAAAACTGAAAAGCTACCATTGTCCTAGAAATAAAATATGACATACATTAGAGCATTTCTCAAAATGTTCCAATTGTACCAAATGTCATAAAGCAAAATATGATCAGTTTCTTTCCTAAAGCTATGATTTAGTTTTACCCTTTATCAATTAATTCTTTATGAGAGTTGCTTGTTTACAATATCACAGATTCATCAACTGTGATCAATCATCAACAGTAGAATCAGCACATATACACAGCTGGAATACAAAGAACAAAACTATAAAGCTGGTGCCTGAACAGACACAAATACACATTTAACATGAAATGTTTTTTACAATGTGCAATGAATGACAGTTTTGTCAGGATGTGGATATTTATAGCAACTAGAGTTTGAAACCCTGGGTGAAGTGAGACCTTAAATGCAGTAAGAGGACCCAGCAAGTAGGGCACAAAACTGAGGCAATGGGGGGGGGGGCATGAAGACCAATTTTTTCATTTAAACCTGACATAAAATCCCGCCATATTTTTGATCAGCAGAGAAAAGAAATGTGGAGTTATGTTCTCAAAGCCAAAACTTTAAAATTTTAAAACAGCATTATCCCCCGCTAACATTTCTCCGACTGTTAAATTGGAGACAAATCTGTAACAGGAAGTGCCCTGGATGTTTACAGTCACCTGGCGCCCTCTATGAAAGCTTTGTCTACTTACTATTACTTGGTATTTGTGGTCTTTTCTGTGGATTCCAACCTCAGCGCCGCAAGAAAAGCACTGTAAATTACAAGAGAGAATGAACATTATAATACATGGGTAGGAATATACTTGGTTGTGGAGTACATGTCGTACATCATTACACTATTAAACTGCCGTTCTTCAACCGGCATTTTAGTTATGCTTCAGACATGACGTCACCACACTTGCCTGCAGACAAAGGTCAAAATCATCGCACTCCGCACAGCGTACTCGGACGTCCAAAATGTTTGTCTGGCAGTAATTGCAATGATACTGCGCCATCCTTGAACAATCGGATAACCCGTCTTTTCCACTGTGCTTTTCTGAATGTCTGTATTTCCAGCGTTATTTGTAATATAATGCGGACTCCCTCAGCGGTCCGCCATCTTTTTGTTCTATTCCAAGCCGTCACGTGGTCTACCATTACCCATTGTGCATTGCGGGCACGTGGCAGATGTTGCTGAACGTACTGCAAAGGAATCCTAAAATAGACCTAGTAGCCCAAACACCAGCGTTTACAACAAAGCTCAACGTTCACAATAGCGGTTGGGACAAAGCGAATAATGTTTGAACTTATTATAATTCTATTCTCAATAAATTAGAAAAACAGACGTATCTGTATTCTTCAACATTGTTTTACCGTCGAAATCGTGTCTACTAGGCCTGCTTGTTTACAAATTGAAGAGGGTCAAAACTTAGCCTAATGTTTGCATTTAAAACCGAATTTTTTTATTTGTGTCAGAGGGCGTGGTCGTTGATTATAAATAAATGCGGTCTCCTAATCCAAAGATAGACCAATTACAGAAAGTCGGGCAAGTTGACCTATAATTAAGTTATAGGCCTACCGGCTGATAGGCTATTAATTTATTGAAGCCCACATCAATACTCCCCGCTGGTAAAAATGCGATAAATGAAACATAATTTTTAAAATCTTAGTGTAAATACCGGGTCCCTAAAAATACTTTTCCCCTAATTTAAGGTGTTGTGGGTGAGTGAGGATGAGATATAGGTGACGATAACGGGATCACCAAAAAAATGACCCCCCTCCCCCATGGTATCATAGCCAAGGAAGTAAATAACTGTGCATAGGCCAAACTATGCGTAAGGCCTACCCTAGGCCTTAATTTAGAATTAAATGATAGTCCAAGACAAGAAAGCCTCAAATGTTCTTGTTGACGCGCCTCTTGCAAGCTAGCACGAAAATTCATGTGTTAGCACTCCTATTGACGATTCTGATATGTAGGCCCCCTACTGTCTGGTCTAACACAGACAGTACATATCAGAATCGTCAATAGGAGTGCTAACACATGAATTTTCGTGCTACTTGCAAGCATGTTTATCTGACATGAACTGACGCCACCCCTCATCACAGATCTGCGGACACAACTGAAATATGCTCGTGCAACGTGGGGCAGCTGCGAAAGTCAAATAATTTCGTCTGCTTTCGGTGCTTTGGGATAGTTGGGGCTTTTTTTTTTATGAAATCGCAAACAAATAGCAGTAGGAAAGAAAACGGAATTTAAAATGTCTCACGCTATTTTCCGTATTTTGCATGCAGTTTGCAAAAATTCATTTCTTTTCCACATCTCTACCAACCTGTGCTTATCCAAAAGTGAAAATGCATTGTGCGATCGTTGTTGTTGCTCACAAACGCTCAAATTACTACTCATAGCACAAACTTAGATTTTTCCACCCCGTGTTTCAGAGGGCATTGGAAATTCATTTTTAATGCTGACAGAAGAGGGGTGCTTCCAGCGTCCTCTATCTGACGCTCGTTGTCTGGGTTCACCGTTCCATGATTCATAATTATCAAAAGCGAACAATACTTCATTTACTTAAAGGGATAACAACTGTTCATTTTGGCCAAAAAATGGATTTTCCTGGGGTAAAGGACAATTTTCCACACTTACCAATGGTTTATGGATCCATTCCCACATTCAAAGTTAGTCTCTTTTTTTTGTCAAAAAGTTTGGTTTTCTGTAATATTCTCTTAAGAGATTCTTACAGTGTAGCCATCCATGGAGGTCACATGATGTGATGGCAAGCACAAATTCCAGAATAATTGTGTTAACCACCATTTTTGGTGGTAAAATGGAATTAATTATATTTCTATGAGCTGTTTACAATGCATTTATTGTGAATTATGGATAACTCATGAACAGTTGTTATCCTTTAATGTCAGATTTTTCCATATATTTTTCAAATAGCATCTCCTTTTATCTTATAGGACAAACTGATTTCACCTTTGTCACCTTTCAAAAAACAAGAACCAAACAACATCTATTAAAATATAACAAAGCAGCTTAATATTTTTAATTTTAGGCAATTTTATTTAAGGCTTTAAATTGTCACCTTTCCTTGCAAATGCTATTTCACTGGTTTTACTTGTTGCAAGCAATTAATAAAAACCTGACAACAAATTAAAAAGCTGTACATATGCAGTACAATTTTATAGATAGGCTAGTTCTCTCCACGCAAGCACAATCACACATGAACCTAACCATACAGCTTGCTTCTGATATGATAAGTTAGAGACAACTTAAGTTACATATTGCAAAGAAAGTTTAACCACTTAGGAATTAGTTAATTGACAGTATCTATCAGCTGATATAATCTGCAAATAATAATAATAATAATAATAATCTTCAGTCTAAATGAATGCTGGGGTGAATTGGCCAGTTGGAGCCAGACAGACAGGTTTCAGGCCTACCCAACTACCAGACTCGGCACCTAAGGATCCTGCATTAACCGGTATATCGGACCACGCTACCCGTTTTCAAGGTGTGTGTCAGATCGCATTTCGGAGTATCATACCCCAGAACAAATTTTGTAGCACGAGTGCGGGCTCATCCATGCTCGGCTGAACAACCTTAAACTGTACTCTTACTTTAGAGTACTCTATTTTATTGTCTCTATGGGGATATATGGGGACTTTACGACATTCGGTTTGAA